TAGTTTGCATGTTGTGAATATCGAAATATATGCTTATGAATATACAGTTGGATCATTATGAACATACAGTTCATGTATTATGAATGTGGTACTCTGTAATTTGCATAACATGGCTGGATTTTCTCATACAGCCATCAATGATGTTTTTTATTTGTCTTGTGTTATACTTTATCATAAATAAAGTCATGCATTCCTAATGTTTTCAATGGTAGCAATGGAATCTGAGCCTACATTGAGTGACGCACTAAAGGAAATTCGAAGAAAAATGACACGAGGTAAAGCTGCAAATGCTGCTAATACATCACAGCAACCACCAGAAAGAGAAATCAAGAGAAGAAAGACAACGAAGGCAATCTTAAACTCACAGACTGCAGGGCCATCACAGCCGCATTCAGAAAGTCAAGTCAATCCAAAAAAGAGGACAAGAGCAGCCACAAAACCACGAAATGCTGAACATAGATCTGATATTGAATACTTTAGCACTAGAATGAGTCCAAGAGTTATGCATCAGCTTGTTAAAAGACTATCAGCACAGCAAAAACAGGCTGTAACTGATATTGGGTTTGAATCAATCTTAAGTCTTCAACTGAACACCAGTGAGTCTCAGTTGGTGGAGTATCTAGTCCACGCCTTTGACGTTTTCAAGTGTGACTTCGTATTGGAAGGTGATAAGCTACATGTTGCTGAGAGGGACATTGAATGCACTTTAGGCATCCCGCGAGGCGTAAAAGAGGTCGAGGAGGCTCCAAAATTTGAAGAGAATGGAAAAGCTGAGTACAGGGCTCTATTACGTACTTGGAGACAACGATGGGGAATACAAACCGGATCACCAATCATAACAAGGATGGGAGACACAATTATTGACAGGGGAGATTATGGAGATGAGTTTAAGAGAGATTTCATGGTCTTGATTGTTTCTTCAATGCTCCGTAGATTCCAGACACGGTACTGCAATGTCAGAATCCTGAACTCTTTGATTGATGTTAGCGAGATCAAGAACTACAATTGGTGCAGCTATACCTACAAGTACCTTATCAAATCAATCGACAAGAAACAGAAAAAATCTGGTGCTGTGTTTACTGGTCCAGTCACATTCCTCCTTGTAAGTCCTTGATATGTCTCTACTTTATATTATTATGTTGTAAATATAGAACTATATGCTTATGAATGTACACCTATATCATTATGAACATACAGTTCAAAGATTATGAATGTAGTACTCTGTAGTTTGCATGTTGTGAATATAGAATATATATGCTTATGAATGTACAGTTATATCATTATGAACATACAGTTCAAAGATTATGCATGTGGTACTCTGTAGTTTGGATGTTGTGAATATAGAAATATATGCTTATGAATGTACAGTTATATCATTTGCAGAGCATGGCTGAATTTTTTAATTTGATGGACATATTGTTCTTTTTGTAGAGCATGGATGGATTTATTCGGCACTCCCCATCCCCCCTCTACTTAAGGATTATATGCTCATCAATATTGTTTTTTATTTGTATTGTGTTATACTTTATCATACTTTATCATTATGAACATGCATTTCATACATTTTATGAGGGATTTTGCAGCTTTTCTATGTTGATAGATTCCAATTCAAGGGGATGAAAGTCATTAGAACACACCCTACCATTCTTTCGTGGACAACTAAACTTTTGAGAAAAAGAGTGGATGCAGAAAAGAATTCAGGTGGATTTGGAAAGGGAAAGGTTATCCCACGAATGAAGAACCCTACTACAGTTCGCAATGTTTCTGCTTTAGCTTGTCCTTCTGCACAAGTAGTTCCAACGATTTCAGTGCCATCATCCAGTATTGATAGAGTGACGCAAGTACTGCAAAGGCTTGCTGCCGATGTCATTGAGTTTGGAGAAGCAATGACTGAGGTTGGAAGGGAGGGGGCACCTGTGGAGGTGATAAAGAAAACTTTTTCTGGTATTTCAAATATGATTTCTGTGGCAAGCACAATGCAAGCAGCTCCAACCCCAACAGCATCGCAGCTAGATGACATTTTCTTTGGTCAAGAAACTTTTACAGCTGCAGTGGATGCTTTGGTAGAGGCTTTTCAGAAAACAACCAGGCAAATGGAAATAGAAGCTCCATCTTTTGATCTAGGAATTTCCCTAACCCCAGCCCCATTACATAAGAGACCAGCAGGGCATAGCACAATGGAGGGAATACAATTGGATGTCCTTGTTGACAGCATTGCATGTGGAGCTGGTTTGACAACCTCCAACAACTCTAAAGAAAAATCAACTGATGCTGTTTCAACCTCCGGCAACAAGGGAAAAGCTCCTTTAATTAGGGTTCCATTCACGTTAGATTCCCCTGCCACCCCTGCTGCTGCTGCCCCTACTGCTGAGCTTGATGATATTGATAGGTAAATATATGCTTAGGTTTCATATATTTTGAATGCAACTAATATGATACCTATTGCATGTAACTGATATGCATTTTATTAGTTATTAATCTACAGTTAAGTAATTATGAATCTACAGTTGAGTAGTTATGAATATACAGTTTGGTAATTATGCTTCTACAATTTATGTATTATAAATCTACATTTTATGAATTATGAATATACACTGGGTAAATTGTTAACATATACTTATTAAATTGATAAATATTCTATTGCATTATTATAACTTCCTACTTGCATTTTTTGTATAAATACAGAGCATTGAATGAGAGTGAGACTGATATTGAGGATGTCACCATCCGAAAAAGGCCAAAAAGAACATTCAAGAATATCCCGTTGAATCTACGATCTCCTTATTGGACAAAGAATGCAAAATATATACGCAATACCACTGTTAAGGAAAGGATCGCTTCAAATTATGCATTCATGCAAGATTCTGATAATCATCCAAATGAGTACGTTTGAAATCTATATATTTAATAAACTATTTAATTACTTAAGTATTTACCATTTATTAACTGATTATTTTTTATTTTTTTTGGGTGTTATAGTGAGTTACTGTTCAGCTATAAGGATTTCTATTTGACAAGACAACAGTTCCTAACAATGAGTGAAGGAGAAATATCAAACAGTCTGATAGATGTGTGGTCTTATAGGCATACATTACGCAACATCAAACGAGCACCGGGACAACCAAAACGTGTGTTCTTCAGCACAATGGTATATGTAAGTATCTTTTGACTTGCAAGCAACTGTTATTTGAATTTCAATTTACAGTATGCAAAGTTCTCATTCTCTTTATAAATGTTTTTTCATTAGCTGCAACTTGAACCAACAGACGAATGGATGAAGAGTCTCCCACTTGATAAAAAGAAGCAAAATTTCAATGAGAGGTTAAACTATGAGCTAAGTATTTTTGGAAATCTTGATATCAGTGATGCACAATTGGTAAGCTCTATTACCCACACTCAATATCCATAACCAAAACACTGCATATTCATAATTGCTATACTATATATTCATAATATCCATACTGTAGATTCATAATTCTTGTACTATAACTTTTTTTTTTTCTTCAAAACAGATATTTTTCCCTGTGTATAGACATGGACACTTCTTTGTTATTTGCATCAACACGATTTCATCTAAGCTTGAAGTGATAGACAACAAGGCCCTACCACCTGATGTTACAGAAGAACTTAAGTATGAAGATTGCCCTCGATTATTGGTAACTTATCCAAAAACTTTAACTTCTTGTCATTTGAAATATATGAAGTATGATGCATAATGAACACTGACATATTTTTTGTGTAGCTAACTGCATTCCAGGAATACTTGACAGCAAACAGTTCATCCTTGTACTGGAAAATAGAAGATATTCCTATAGAGGTGCTTCCTATGACCTGGAAAGAGACTGAAAATTCCATTGACTGTGGAATATATGTCATGAGACATATGGAATCATATAAAGGAACTCTAAAGAATTGGAACCCAGGATTCAAAAGAAATTCTAGTGTAAATGTAAGAGGAAAACATATTACTTTCAGATTTTTTATTTTTTTATTTATTTTTTTTTCCATTGCATGAGACTTATTATTTAATGTTCTTCATTTGTAGGCTGATTTCATCTATGGGTTGCGAGCAAAGTATGCTGCTACAATCATAACATGGGAAGAGAACACAGAAATGCACAGGGTTATGAAAGCAGCAAGGGATCTGTCCGACCTGAAATGTATTTGAAATGCTGTTATTTTGAACATGGTTGACTGAACAATTGTGAATTCTGATTTTTGATATTACGAATTGTGTAGTTTGATTGTGGGGATATATATTTTTGCACATGTGACCATGATTCTATTATTATGACTTTATGTTTCAAACATGTCTATTTTTGCACTTGTGACCATGGTTCTAGTATTATGACTTTATGTTTCAAGCATATGGTTCTATTATTAATTTGTGAACATGTATAACATATTTGATATCTATAAGATTATGAACGTACAGTATTCTGGTTATGAATGTACAGTTATGTCATTATGTATGTACTTGTATTATGAATGTACAGTATTCTGGTTATGAATGTACAGTTATGATATTATGAATGTACAGTTTTGTGATTATGAATACACAGCTTTGGAATTTTGAACACATAGCATTGACATTATGACCTTATAATTATGAATATATAGTGGTAAAACTTATTATTTTCAACTTTGATGTTTGAACCTCTTAATAGACATAATAATTAAATATTAATAATATATACAAAAAAAAAACTTGTAAATTAACATGAAAAATAATACGATTCTACTGTTAATTTGTTGAACTAAATTACGTAATTCATAACTATGATATTATGAATAAACAGTTATGGAAATATGAATGTACAGTTATATGATCATGAATGTACAGTTATATGATCATGAATGTACACTGTCAACATAGATGTTTAAACCTCTTTAAAAAATAAAGAACAAGTATTAAGAATATATAATTGCAAAACTTGTAAATGTATATATAAAAGTTTTGAATATAAAGTTCAAATCTAACCAACTGACATATCACAATCTCAGTCTGCAACTACATTCTCATCTAAACTCTTATTAAACCGAACAAACTGTGAACTACTAGAAGTTGGGTGTACAAGATATCCATCACCAGCAATCTCAGATATATTTTCCAAAACCAGTGATTGAACGACACCCTTTATATTTGAAGCAATCTTGTTTGCAGCACTCCTTCTTCCCCTTGCTATAGTGTACTTCTTTGCAATAATACTACTCCTCCTTTTATTACGCACACCTTTCAATCTCCGGCTTGAAGGATCTTGAACAATACCATTTGAAGATGAAGCACCACACCCTTCAATATTCATTTCCCCAATCTCAGCTTCAATCAATTTCTTTGCATTCTCAACAGCTTCATCGCAAAACTGTCTAGCTACACTATTGTCTTGACTTGAAACAACCAATTTTTGAAACTTCCTACTAATCTCAACAACCCAAATTGAAGGAGGAACACCAACATTATAAGACAGTAAATCAAAGTTCACATTCCTAACAGTTGCAACCTTTTTGGTCCATCTTTTCATAATGTACTTGTCCGGAATACTAGGAACACAGTTTATATCAAGTATGCGTAGACAATGACAACACAGGATTCCCATTTCAGAAAACAGTTTGCAACTGCAAGAAATGTCAATATTAATTGGCTTAAAACTAACTTCATGCCTTATAATATCTACATCCGGTCGCCACACATGATACTTATATTGACGCCCATCATTCAACACAATCTCTTGGTGACACGCACTGCCTTTCATTAACTGTTCCTCAAACAGAAAATAGATTTCAATTGTATACACCTCTCTAGCATGTGAAAGAAGTTTCACATTGTCAATCATCATGGCAGGTACACCTTGAGCACAGCGAAAGTCTTCACCATTTTCTTTACTTCTCCACTCAGAAATAACACTAACAAACGATGAGTAGAAATCACACAAACCAGCAGTCTTAGACAGCCTTCTAGAAATTGAATGATTAGTGGTTTCACTCCTTTGTGAAGATAGAATACCCCCAGAAAAATAATCCTTATTGAAAGCTGGACACCACTTCTCCCTACAATCATAAAGCTTCCCTAGCCATGTATTCTTGTGACACTTAAATTCAGTCACCATCCTGAAAATTATGTATTGTATATTCATAATTCATATAATGCAGATTCATAATTGCAAATATTTTATATCCATAGTTAATATAATGTAGGTTCATAACAGCTAAACTGTATATTCATAACTTCTATACTATATATTCATAACAGATGTTCTGTATATTCATAATTCAAATAATGCAGATTCCTACTTGCATATATTTCATATCCATGGCATATATTCCTACTTCCAAATATACTAGCTAAACTGTAAATTCATAACTTCTATACTGCAACTTCATAACCTATAAACTGTATATTCATAAACAAAACCCCATAAACAGAAACATACCTAGTCCAATAGAATTCAAATTCAGCTTCAGTGTCTGTGTATTTCAGCAAGCAGTTGAAGATATCCATGAACTCCTTATTGTTCCTTAACGTCTTGATATGCTTCTTCGAATTCTCACCAATGTGTCATATGCAAAGACGATGGCGTGATGATGGAAAAACTATAGAAATAGCAGCAGCCATGGCTGCACATTGATCCGTCATAATCGATTGTGGACACTTGCCATCCATAGATCTTAAAAAGGCTTTAAACAACCACACAAAGGATTCTATCCTCTCGTTCTTCAAAAACCCACAACCAAACATTACATTCATACAATGATGATTCATCCCTACAAATGGCCCACATATCATATCATATTTGTTAGTGCGATATGTTGTATCATGCACTAACAAATCTCCAAACAATTCATAATCCCGTCTCATTTGACCATCCCTCCAAAAAAAATTACACAGTCTTGAGTCAGAATCAACTTCAAAATCGAAAAAAAAGTCAGACTCATTAGACTGCCTCCTCCTAAATATTTCAATCAACGAATTTGAATCAGTTCCATCTAAACTCTTAACTGTGTCAAAAGCCAACGAATTATAAGCATCACGACTAGTGAAACCAACCAATGGAGACCCGCCTGATTGGTGTTTCAAAAACCTAATACCCCCTGCCACCCCAACTCCACTCTGCTTCAAATCTTTTAAACATGAAAGCTGGTTACTTCCTACTCTCCTATGTGAACGAAGTAGATGACTCTTATCTAAATCACATAGCTCATGGTTGTGCATCTTCATATGTTTTGCAACTGTCCACAATCCATCACCACCCACATCAAACTGAACAAATGCACCACACCCTGTCCTTGTATCAATTTTTGAATAAAGCTTAACACCACCATCTGCCTTACACTTAAAACCAGCCTTAGAACAGTAAAACCTCTTCATTTGAATTGTCTTGGTAGATGCCTTGTAACGTTGTTTACCCTTCCTCACACTAAAACCAACTCTATATGCATGTTCATTATACAAATCAAAAGCTTCATCACCATTACTTACTACAGCACCAACCAAATCTTCATCAACTGCAATTACAAAATATATAACCTCAAGTATAACAAATAATAACATTTGATGGAAATATAATTCCAACGTAGAGGGGGAGAGGGGAATGCCGAATAAATCCAGCCATGATCTACATAGGAACAGAATTTCCATCAAATGATAAAAAAAATATAACATTCACTGAACATTATGAATATAAACTCATAACTCCATAGTTGTATATTCATAACTATAAAACTGTACATTCATAATTGCATAACTGTATATTCAAAACTACATATCTGTTCATTCATAATTTCACCCTACATACTCATAATTTCATAGTGTATATTCATAACTTCATCAATCTATTCACATAAGCACAATACATATATGGTCAAAAACATCATTCTAGCAAATAAAAACCATCACAAATCACCATACTTGATCTGTACTTATTGAATAAAACATTCTAATTAAGAGTAAACACTGTTAAAAAACCTGGAATAGAAGAAGATCCATCAATGTTTAAATCTCCTTGATCTGTACTTAATGAATCACCCACCAAACCTTCGTTCACTGAAAATACATAAACAGTGTACACATAGCAATCAAATATATAAACATACAACTGTAAAATTGTTAAACATATAACATGCAACTTACTGACATTCACTTAACAAATAGCTACAGAGTACCAAAAAATGTTATGAATATATAGTTCACACAGTATGAATGTACAAGTCAATCATTATGAATGTATAGTTGCAATATTATGACACAAGCAAACTGCAGAGATTTATGAGCATTGTAAACACTCCAAAATCTGAAATCACCTGTAAAATCTACCCAAAATCACATACATTGATTTCAATAACAAGCAAAACCTCACCAAAATCTCACATATTGTACGCAATCAACAACAACCACAAATTCAAAAAAAAACATACACATACACCAAATTTGATCGCATTAAAGCACACAAATATACAATCGAATTCAGTTTTTACCTAATAAATCTCAAAACACAAAATATCAAGTATATTCAAAATCGCAAAATACCTCCATCGCTCTGATTTGTTGCCTCATCCATCAAAAAACTCTTTATTCAAATACAGATGATCAACAAACTCTGCGATTGCGATATAGAATGAAAGAAGGAAAGAATAGATAGAAATCAGAGCGATATAGAATTGCAATATAGAATGAAAGAAGGAAAGATTGCAATATAGAATTGCAATCTCAAATTGCCAAAACAAAATAAGGAAAGAATAAAATCAATGACGCCGTTAACGGCTTAACAAACGCAATTTTTTTTTTTTTAAATTAGAATACCGCCGTTTTCCCCTAAAAAGACGGCGTTTCGGATTCGTGTCCACAATGCATAGTGGACACGAGTCCATAGCATAATTTGCGTATCATCCAGCAACTTTTGCTCTGAAAAGGATATCAGCCTGCAACCAAACAGGCATTGGGCTTTCATGGTATAATTATATACAACTGTATGAACCTAATGGGCAAATTATACTGTGCACTATGGTCCAAAATGGTGTCTTTTCTTTTAATGAAAAGAAACTTCACTCGTTTCATGTCGTTTCATGTAATTAGTTCAGTTTGTGTAACATATTTAGTTTCATTTCATATAGATTGTAGTTTCATTTCAATACAATTAAAATTTCATTTTGTTTCAACTACAATTTCATTTGATATTATACATACAATAGTCTTATTAGAATGAGACATGCTATTGAATTCCATTTTATACTCACTGTAGTCTTATTACAACACAACTAAATTATAATTATAATTCAACTAAGGTTTCATTTGACAATATACACTCAAATATGTGAAACTGTTATTCAATTTTAATTTATATACAATATAGTTTCATTACAACACAACTATATTATTATTTCGATATAACTACAGTTTCATTTGACAATATATGCTTAATATGTGAGACATGTTATTCAGTTTCTTTTTATACATACTGTAGTTTCATTTCAGTAAAACTAAAGTATCATTTCTATTCAGCTACAGTTCTATTGTGAAACTGTTATTCAATTTCATTTTATATACAATGTAGTTTCATTACAACACAACTACAATATCATTTGGATATAACTACAGTTTTATTTGACAATATACATTCAATATGTGAGACATGTTATTCAGTTTCTTTTTATACATACCTGTAGTTTCATTTCAGCAAAACTAAAGTATCATTTTTATTCAATTACAGTTTTATTTGACAATATACATTCAATATGTGAGACATTTTATTCAGTTTCATTTTATACATATTGTAGTTTCATTTCAACAACTAAAATATCATTTCAATTCAATTACAATTTCATTTGATAATATAAACACAATATATATGCGAGACAATTTCATTTTTTTTTTTTATAAACACACAAAAAAATACGAAATCTGTTAAAAAGTTTTCGGAGCATGATCCACAGTATAACAACCGAACCTAATGGTGGGCAGATCATATGAATGCATAATGGGTCATAAGATGGACATTAAGAAAGAGGGGTATGGGATCATAGAGTTATACATTTATACCATGGACTTGGGTCCATCTTGATAGGTGAAATCTTATCTTAAAAAACGTATAAATTATGTATTTTTAGTATTGAAATTGTGAACTTTTAGAATATAAATTTTGTTTCTAAGTCAAAACACATAATACAATACATGGTCATCAAATCCTAATATGTTAATATTGAATTGTGTGACTATAGTATTTGAAAGAAACTTGTGAATACAAAACAAAGTAATCATTTACATATATGTTAACATTGTGTGTTACGTTCTTAGTATACAAATTGTAAATTTTTAAAAGACAAATTGTGAACATTTAGTATGTAAATTATGAACATTTGGATTCAGATTCACTTTACAAGATGGACCTGGGTGCACATAATAATATGCCAGGATCATATCATCACAGATAATGAACAATTAAATTCACTTCCTTCCCAGTTAACTCAAAGTCAATATTACAACAGAGAAGAGAGAACATATAAGGTTTGTTAACCAAGCTGGTTAGTTAGAATTTAAGTATATGTGGATACTCTTTTGAATTATATAAGGTTTAAAAACATCTATATATTACTTAAGTTGGGGTCAGGTAGCACCAAAAATGTCATTGATTGCTTCATTTGTTTACTTAGGTGAATATGTAGATGATTAATGCGGTGATTTGAAATTTTTTTTGGAGCATTTTAGATGAATTTAGAATTAATGGGTTCTCATAATAGACTCATGTCTAATTTTTTAAAGCTCGATCAGGTTTAACCTATTTTCGTGGGTAGGTCCCCTTGTTTCATGTGTTCAATTCTAAACTTTTCTATTCACAGGTAAATCTTTTATTAGTGTCGATTTAGTAATGTGCAGAGATTCCTTAAATCCTGCGATTCATTAATTACGTTACACCCACGTTCCCAGTTGATTAGGTTATTGCGGCATTTTGGGAGAAGAATTGAAGAAGGTTATTGCGGCATCTTTCACGGAAAGGGCAGAGGGGGAGAGAGCTTATAAGTTGATTAGAAAAATATTCTCCCACTTCGAAACATGTTTTTGATGTTGTATTATACGAGTATATAAAATTTTTAGGGATTTTTTTTTTTTTTTTGAGTTAATGCTCAAAATAGTTTTTGAATGTAGTCGTTTTCCTCAATTTTGGTGACCTAATATAGTTCAGACTTTTATATTTTTGCTTAATTTTGTTCCCCGTTTATTATTTCATCAAATTTTTGTTAAATAAAAGAACAATTCAGTAATTTTAATATTGGGTTTCTCTTTATTCTCAGTCCTATGAAGTGCCAAATCTCTCTTTCTTTTACGAATTACTCCCAAACCTGCGAATCAAATTTTATATAATTCGTAGATTTGTGAGTAATTTCTAAAAGAAAGAAGGATTTCGCACTTCACATGTCTAGGAGTAAAGATATGACAATATTGAAATGACTGAATTGTACCTCTATTTAACATCAAATAGACGGAATAACAAACGAATGATTAATTTGTGCAAAAATATAAAAATCTGAGACTATATTAAATCACCAAATTGTTTAGGACAAAATTGATAAAAACCTTTATGGTCGATGACCATTTTTTATATTAACTTGATTTTTTAAAAAAATTCATTGGTACTTGTGCATTACTCAATCCTACTATAAGTCATAAGAATACCCCATAACAATTAAAGGACATGGTCGTTTAATTCAAAGGATCCAAATCTCACTATTATATTTTATTGGAAAAATATTTGATGCGATGTATAATGCAATACATTAGTGGTGAATGAGGTGATGTCATCATCTCATTAAAAAAAATTAATAGTGCGGTTAACGAACTGAATATGAACGAACGAAAGTTGTTCGTGTTTATTTGTTAAAATTTTTGAAGTGTTCGTGTTCATGATCGTTTGTTTTTTGAAAATATTGTTAATGTTCGTTTGTTAAGCGTTCATTCGTTAACGTTAATGAATACGTTCACGAACACGTTTACGAACATGTTCGTTCACGTTTATGAACGCTTAATAACCAAACACATTCACTACATGTTCATAATCACATAAAGTATGGCTTTGCATCCTATGTGCATTTCATTAAGTGGAGGCTGCTTATTATAATTAATTATGTATTAGTATTAGTATGCATGTTGACTTGATAACTCAAATGTTACAAATTTTATTTTTACAGAAGCAATTTATTAGTCTTCTTAATTTATGACAACCTAGCTAAGTAAACCTAAACCTTCATTGACCCTTTTACGCCGTTTGTCATCAAAAGGAAAAAAATGATAATTTTTTAAGGTCAAAGCTACAGTTGGCCACATGTTTTTGCAATATATTTTTTAGTCTCACATCTCTTCTTCCTAAAAAAAAAATTAAGGATTTTGAGTTTTTGACTGAAATTAACTTATAAGCTAAGTTTCTTAAAAAAACAAAAAAAAAAAAAAAAAAAAAAAAAAAAAAACTTATAAGCTAAGTGATCCAAATAATTATTTATTATTAAAGAATTAACTACTTGTAAGAAAACAATTATAGATCAGATCGAATAAGAGGTGAATTACCAACCTAGTTTTTGAACTGATAAATGAGGTCCAGAGTGTGTAATAATTGAATTTAATTTGTAAATTTGTCCTTCCCACAAAATGTGGAATCCTTCACCGGGGTGCTTCATAGAATTGTAGAGGGGTAAATCACAATAATTATTCTGCGATTTATTATGTGGGAGGATCAGGGTGCCACAAGCTAAGGAGCCACTCCACGAACGTGAAGCTATCAAACGTACTACGATTGCTAAGTTCGATCATGTGTTCTTATTCATAATCTGTCGTCTAGAAATTAACTCAGTAACACGTGCAAGCAAGACACAAGTTATTATCTTATAAAGAGAAATATAATAGAGATAGTGAGATTCCCCGAGTGCAATATTTTGTTGAGTTCTATTACATGTACTCTCAAATTCTACTATCTCACTTTTATTACTCCGATCCGTGATATGAGAGACAGTGATAGATTATTGTCATCATATGGGTCCCAAGAGAAATGTCTACCTCAAGAATTTAAGAATGAGAGTAACAAACACCTGCCAACATTACTTATAAGAGAAAATGTAATACTTGTAATGAAAAATACATATAACGTAATACTTTTACATCAAAATGTAAAAGTATTACATTTGTCCTCAGAAGTATTTTTTATAAATAACAAATACTTTATTCCTAATTAGTATTATATTTTTTCAATATAAGTATTACGGAGTACATTATATTTTTATTGTTATAAGTTACGAATGAAAAATTATTTATTTAAATTTTCTATTGCCAACTACTAGTGGAATGACACTTCTGTTACTATTCTAAATAAAAAAAAAATGATATTTTTCACTTTCAGTAAAAAAAAAAAAAAAATTATTAAAAAAAAGTATTTCTTATAAATTATTGTATAGAAAATACCATATAATATAAAAATACAGATATGTAATCTAATTATCAATTTAAATTTTAGTTGATATGAGTGATATATATATTTTTGAACTGAGTTCAATTCTACTCTATGAAGTCTCTATTTTTGCTCTACTTCAATTTACTTTTTGACGTGATAATAGATGACAAATTATCTTTTATCATGTGAGTTCTTAAAAATATATAAAACATTAAAATCTTTTTTTTTTATTAAAAATAAAAGAAGAGAAAATATGGAGTAGAATTGGGATAGTGGAACAAATTAAAAATATTATTTGGACTCAAAAATCATACTCATAACTCTTACTTTCACGGAGTGTTATTTATATTTTATTGGAGGAAAAAAATAATTGATAAAAATCATAAATCCCTCAAATTGAGCAATTAAAGCATGCCACATATTAAACAATAGAAAATAAGAGTACATTTAGAATTACTCATGGAAAAGATAAACTATTGTGACTCATCAATTAAGTAAGAGAACTAGTCCCAGATATCATCACATTCACTGAAAACTCTTATAATTATCAGATTTAATTTATATAATTACTTTCAACGTATTTGCAAAATGTTGAATTCTTAATCCCAAGTCCTCCACATTCTAAATTGATAAAGTATTTGAGAGAATCATCTTCATCTGTTCACTTTGGACATAATCTCCAATTTTTACATTGTCATTGCGAAAGTTTTAATTAATTAGCGAGTTTTACTACATGAACTTTTTAATCTTACTCTCTAAATTTTACTCTCTATATGACGGATTCTGATAAGTTTTTTTAGAAGTGTTTACATCAAAATTTTATGTGTAAAAGTACAAATTGAGAGTATAAAATAGAATACATGTAGCATTTTCCTTAATTAACCTGCTATATAGTATCGACGCTTTCAGATTTTAATTTGCAGTCCGCCATGGCTTCGTTTACTCTTACTTTCTCATGCCTTGCGTTCTCGTCTTCTTCTCCCAACTCGACGAATTCTCCTCTCTTCTTCTCCGGGGCCCCATCCCAGTTTCGCCTCCGCAAGAAACCAAACCAAACGAGGCTCAGACTTTCATGCAGAGCCAACCCTAATAACAACGGTGATAGTAGTAATATCAGTGATGCCGCCCCCTCACTTTCGAGGAACATTGACCGGAGAAACGTTCTTCTCGGCATCGGAGGGCTGTACGGTGTTGCTAATCTCGCCGGTACCCCTATTGCCTCCGCCGCGGACGCCGCCATTCAAGCCCCGGATGTAACCAAATGCCATTATCCCACGGATTTGCCTGATAACGCTGACGTCCCCGACACGTGCTGCCCCCCTGTGCCGGCCGTGACTATCTCCGACTACCAGCTTCCCGCCGACGGCGGGATGCGGACAAGGGTTCCGGCGCACTTGGTGAGCGATGAATTTATAGCCAAGTACGAAGCCGCCCTTTCAGCGATGAGGAGCTTGGATCCTTCTCATCCCCACAGCTTTACTCAGCAGGCCAACATTCACTGCGCTTACTGCAACGCCGGCTATCAGCAAGTCGATTTCCCGTCGGAAGTGATCCAAGTTCATAACTCCTGGCTCTTCTTTCCCTTCCATAGATGGTACCATACGTTACAATTAATTTAATTTATTTTATATAAAACAGTACAATATATTGGCCCTGTTTGATAAATAGCTGTTAGCTAATTGGGTTGATTAGAATGTATAACATTAGTTAATTGTAGAAAGATGTTTGGTAAATTGATCGTTAACTGTTTGGTATAATTTCTTTTCTCAAAAAGCTAATTGATAATATTGCTTTGATAAGCTTTTTGAATTTTAATATTTTGGAGTTGATTTTTTAACACAGTCAAACAATTAATAGTTGTGAAATAAGTCAAAATTGACTGATAGACTAATATTTTATCAAATAGTGACATTATATTGGTCGTCATAGGCCTACCTGCATAATTATGATTAATATTTTCCTAATTACTATGTAATAATTGTTTAAAAGGTACTTGTACTTCTACGAGAAGATATTGGGAAAGCTGATTAATGATTCCACCTTCGCCCTTCCCTATTGGAATTGGGACAACCAAAGTGGCATGGCGATGCCCAATATGTTCATGACCTCCACTTCTTCTTCGCTCTATGATGCCAACCGTAACGCAAACTACTTCCCTCCCGCCATTGTTGATCTTAATTACGCCGGGAGTGACAGAGGTTTGACCGACGACGAACTCATCAATGAAAACTTAGTGGCAATGTACCGTTCCATGGTGACAAACGGCAGCACTTCCGACCTCTTCCTTGGACAGAAGTATGTTGCCGGCGATAAACCTAACCCGGGGCAAGGGTCTATAGAGAACATCCCTCACACTCCGGTTCACAGATGGGTCGGCGACTCCGTGAACCAGCCGAACGGCGAGGACATGGGCAATTTCTACTCCGCCGGTCGAGACCCATTGTTTTACTCTCACCACGCCAACGTGGACCGCATGTGGGTCATCTGGCAACAACAGCTCGGCGGAAAGAACTTCACCGACGACGCCTGGTTGGACGCTTCCTTTTTGTTCTACGACGAGAACGAGAATCCCGTCCGAGTCTACGTCAAAGATTGTCTTGACACCACAAAAATGGGGTACGAATACCAACCCTCCGCCCTCCCGTGGCTGAACAGCAAGCCCGCCGCCTCAATCACGACCGGCGTGGCCGCCGCCTCGAATGCGCCGTTCGTCACGGACGTGTTCCCGGTGACACTGGACAAAGTGGTCCAGGCGAAGGTGCGCAGGTCCAAGACTTCAAGAACTGAGGAAGAGAAGGAGCAAGAAGAAGAGGTACTGGTGATCGACGGCATCGAGGTGTCGGCGGATCAGTACGCGAGGTTCGACGTGTACCTGAACGACGCTGCGGAGGCGGAGGGCGGGAAGGACAAGGCTCAATACGCCGGAGGATTCGCTCACTTGCCGCAGAATCAGCAGAGTAGCACAAACACGACGACTTCGTTGAGGTTGGGACTGAACGAAATGCTGGCGGACTTGGGTGTGGAAGACGAAGATACAATTCTGGTGACTTTGGCTCCAACCGTCGGCGGCGGCGTGGTGAATGTCAGCAGCATCGCCATTGATTATTCTGCCAAATAAAAATCAGAGCTGAGCTGAGTGATGCATGCATCAGCTAGTATGTGTAGTGTTTTATATATATGTATATGTATGTATACCGGGGTTTGGTTGTCTTCGATAATAATGTAATAATTACGTACTAATTAAATAGGTATGAGGTATTGATATCAGCAGCTGCGGCTGCTAGTACGTACTCCTAGCTGGCTAGCTAATTAGCTATCCTCAATAAAGTTGTACATGAATGCATGCATGCACCAATAATTGTATTGTAATGGCTATATATGAAGTCTACCTTGTTGTTTTAGTAACGGGATCCGATCCTATTATTATCCTATCGATCTAGTAACTCTTTTTATTTGAAAGAAATGAACAGGGATCAAGTTTCACCAAGTGACAGTGAGAGTCTCTCAAAGTGAAGGTCCGTCCTTGGAGATTCAACATTTTGAAAAAAAATGTGAAAATAATTTTTATTATAAAAAAAAAAAAAAAAAGTAGAAATCAAACCTCTTACAATATAATGTACTCCTCAAAAAAGGTACTTTTACATACACTAGTACACAAAGCACTTTTGATGTCACTTAAAATTTGACTTTGTTCAAAAAGACGTTATAATAAGGAAATCATAGGACATTTGTTAAATAAAAATTGACACCGTATATTATTTTTAAATTTTTTAAAAAACACATACAACATCGATTTTTAACGTATAACTGGCGTTGTAAGTTAATGAATTAATTATTCTACAACCAGAATGAGCAACTCGTATATTATAATTTTTCACTTTCATTTTTATATACATAATAATACATAATACACATTTTTTTTTATATACGTATACAATAACACAAAATTAATTTAAACTAAAATAAACAATAAAATTTCTGAAATTTATTATTGAACATTTTTATCACACAATAACAACTATATATATATATATATATATATATATATATATATATATATATATATATATAATACACAATTTTTATTTTATTAAACTATCTCAACAATGCCTAACATATACAATAACACACAATTAATCTAAACTAAAATAGCCAACAACCATGTAGTGTGATAGCATCTCGATTACCATTCCAAATGAATGATTATAAGTTCGAATCCTGATGTGGGGACTTAGATTCTTTGGGCTGAAAATATTTGAGAAAGTACTACCTGTTTGGCGTGTTAAGACACTATTAACCTGCATTCGTGCGAGACCTTTGGACGCAGATAGTCCTTACGCATATTTTTTTTATTTTTATGGCCAGTTTTGTACTAGTGAAAAGTAGAAATCGAACCTCTTACGTTGTGCCCCTCAAAGTGTATTGGCCCTGTTTGGTAAAATAGTTAGTCTATCAACTAATTTTGGCTTATTTGATCACTATTAGCTGTTTGATTTAGTTAAACAATCAATATGAGTATTTGGTTAATTAGTTTTTTGTAACAATTTATTGTTCCAAAATGCTAAAATTAAAAAATCTATTTAAAGTAGCTTCTTTCGATTAGCTTTTTGGGAAAGTCATTTTGTATATAATCAGCTAACAGCTAACAGTTAATTTACCAAACATTTTTCTACAATCAGCTAATGCTATCAACTAATTAAACCCACTAATAACCAAATTAACTAACAGCTAACCACTATTAGCTAAATTATATTTTTACATAAACAACTAGGCATCAATAAGTAAAGGAACGGTTTACAAATTTAGAGTAGGAAACTTTCCTAAATCAAACTTAGATTTCCTTCCTAAAACGTGAGATCTCTTTTTCTAAAATAGAAAAGCAGAAATGCAGACGAGTTTTGTAACGGGGTGAATTTGAAGTCTACTACTGGATGGGACAAATTATATCATGCACCAGGGACGACGTCGTTTTGGGCAAGGGCACACAATGTGCACGATATAACGATTGACTGGATGGTTGATTGGCCGACTACTCCATTCGACAGACTTTCTAGACCTTAGTGATCCATCATTGCTCACTAGTAAAGGAGGGATTTTTTAGTTTCAGCACAGTCCAAGAAATTGAGGAACAAAAAGAAAGCCGAAAGATACAAGGTATACAAATATACAATCCAGCAACTTTGCTCTCACCTGAAGAGGATATCAGTCTGCAACCAGCAATTGGCCGGAAACAAGGGCAACCTAAACGCTATTGTCGATGGAAAATCAAATTCCAAATTAAATGGCCCTTGGTGTATATATATTTTAAAATGAACGTAACAATGGGAATTCAACTAATTAATTGATCTAGCTACATTTTTATACCAAACAAATATGTTATTAACAATAATAAGTAATGTCACATTAACTATAGGTGAGGTTGGAAGTTTAATTTGACTCTTTATGAGAATTTTTTATTGACATTTTGGGTTGAGTTTGTCAACTATGGATAACATAGGCTTATTTATTTCTTTGTGGTTTCACTTAAAGTACATTTTTAAGGTGGTGTTTGGTTGAGACTTGGGAGGAAAGAATCAAAAAGAAAATGAATTGCAATTCGGTGGAAAAGAATAAGGTAGGAATTCAAATTACATTGTTTGTTGGTGAGGAATAAAATTATTGAGAATGAGAAGGAAAAAAAATGGTATAAAGACTAAAATGTCCTTGTGTAATAATAATAATAATAATAATAATAATAATAATAATAATAATAATAATAATAATAATAATAATAATAATAATAATAATAATAATAATAATAATAATAATAATAATAATCACCAAGGACACTTGTGTAATTTTTCTTTTTAAATTTAGTTCCTAATATTTTTTTTTTTGAAATGTCCCCACCATCGAAGTTCAATTCTATTTTTTTTTTTTTTTTTGGTAGAAACCACACATTGTGATCCGGGTCTTTCTCTGTCCGTTTAACGATCCAGGTCCACCCAGTTTGCTCCGAGAGGCACAGAAGCTAGCCCAAAGAGAATCGTCACTTATGGGAATCGAACCCGGGTTATCCCAAAATTCTCCCCCACAAAGAGAGCTCATTTGCCACTTGAGCTACCCTGTTGGGTTACGAAGTTCAATTCTATAAACACTCATTTAGAATGGTAACATGGGGGTGGGGGGGTGGGTGTGTGTGTGTTATTAAATTTTTATAATGTGTGTTAACTTGTGAGATTTATAATGTGTCATATGTTGTAATAATAATTTTAATTATTTGATATAAAATATATTTTGTGATTTAGTCATGAATAAATACTTTTTTTTTCTTTAAAAAATTTATTTTTTATTAATCATTTAATCAATGAAGTCTACAAGTGTATATTATATTTTATCGTATTCAATTCGAATTAATTTTAAAAAACAATTAAAGTTGATACAACTAAAAGAAAAAAAAAATTATGAATATATTATAAATATAGATAATATGTGGTTTATAATGTTAGTTTTATCTATTATAACTATTTTATCTAATTGATTATGTTTTAAATTTTATCATTAATATTTTTATAACAATTCAAATTGCGGGCTTTAAAATTTCACTCATACTCAAATATATATATGGCTCCGTCCTATATCATATCGACCAATATCAATCAAGAAGTTAATGTTTGATATTGATATGATAACAGGACAATTCATAAAACAAAAATAAATAAAATAAATTTAAAAAAACTATTAGAACATACTATATTAAAAGAATTCGCTTTTACCTTCTCAAAAAAGAAAAAAAAAAAAGAAAAAAAGGAATTCGCTTTTATCTTCAAAAAAAGAATGCCCTTTTAAGTTAGCTATATACAATACGTAGAACACTACACTCCATAAATTCACAAAATCTGTTCTATATTAGCATTACCAATTAATATATGTTAATATATTGATGTAACCATTTGAAAATTCACGAATATAATTATTATTAACGTATTATCGTATCAATATTAGTTAATACAAATTCATTATATTATATTTCAAATATTTTTTAATTAATAAAATGTATTTACATATAATTATCTGTGCCTGCGCAAGTATGAATGTATGATCACAGAAGCACAAGCATTGACTTGGAAGTCTTCAGCCGATTACTTCTCTAATTTCTACTATAAAATTTGAGATTGAATTGTAGATATTTAAAACCTGCAATAGAGTATATTTAATGACATACGTATTAAATAAGCCTTTAAAAAAGCTTCAGGCCAGACTAGGCCTATTCTAATTAACTCAAATTTGGACTTAAAAAAAGCTTACATATAGACTTATGCCTCAAGTTCTCATAGCATGCTAGCTCAAACCTAATTTTTCAAAGCTGGACGGGGCTTAACCTATTTCTATCTTTAGTGGGTGTGTCCACTTGTTGAGTCGTTATGTTGTGCAACCGTGTGCACCATGCTACACCATGTATGGTGCACACGGTTGCAAAAACGACGTTGTTTTGACGTCTGACTTAAAAAAAAAAAATTCTGGATATTAAGTTCATTCATTCTAGATATATAGTTCAAATTATGCACAACATAACGCCGTTGACGGAAATTGAAACTGGTTTTTTTTCATTCATTCTGGATATTTAGTTCATTCATCCTGGATATATAGTTCAAAAATCGAAACTGATTTTTTCATTCATGTTGGATATTTAGTTCATTCATTCTAAATATTTAGTTCATTCATTGTGGATATATAATTCAAATTATTCACAACATAATACTGTTGACGGGAATTGAAACTGATTTTTTTTAAATCGCACGCGCGTTTTTAGTCAAAACAATATCGTTTTTGCAACCGTGTGCACCATGCATGATGCACACGGTTGCGCAACATAATTTGCCCCAGTTGTTTCATATAAAATCCCTGAAGTTCAATTCTAAATATTTCTATTCATAGGTAAATGCGGCAATCTTTTATTGGAGATTTAGTAATGTGTAGAGATTCCTGAAATCCTGCGATTCATTAATTACATTACACGCACGTTCCCAGTTGATTAGGTTATTGCGGCATCTTTCACGGAAAGGGTGGAGGGGGAGAGCTTATAAGTTGATTAGAAAAATGTTCTTCCACTTCGAAACATGTTTTTGATGTTGTATTATACGGTGTGTATAAATTTTTTAAGTGATTTTTTTTAATAGATTTATTGGTACTTGTGTATTACTCAATATAAGAAGAAAAAATGACATTTTTGCCCCTGAGTTATATACTTATAGCACTTTTTCCCCCTCAATTATTTAGGTAAGCACATTAGTCCCCTCAATTATTCTAGAAGTGGTGCTATTTCCCCATGATATATTAAATTGACATTTATACCCTTAAAGTAAACATTTTATTTATTTTACTACTACAACAAATTATTGCGTATACGTAGGGATGACCACAGATCGGTTTGAATTGAACCGGATACTAAAGCAATCGAATTAATAGTTTTCGGTTATAATTCAAATCTAGAACCCAATATTTAAATGTCAATTTATTAAAATTATGTATCAAAAAAATTGAATATTGAATCGTGAACCGGCGGTTCCAGATTCGATTCGCGATTTTGAACTGTCTTTATTTTAAAATCTTATTTTTTATTTTAAAATAGTATAAATTCAACAATAAATGTATTTTATTTTTTCAGTTCGGAACATGAACCGTCCGTTCCGGTTCACGATTTTAATAAACTCTAAATATCGAATTTTGATTCTAAATTGTAACTGGAATATTTCGGTTTGGTTGCTATAGTGTTTGTTTGGTTTGAACCAAATTATGGTCATAATTTGTTGGAGAAAAAAAATAAATTAAATATATAATTTAAGGGTAAATATGTCCATTTAACATTTCAGGGGAAAAAACAGCCACTTCAATAATTTAGGAGAAAAAAATGCTATAGGTATATAACACAGGGAAAAAAAGTGTCATTTTCCCATATAAGAATATCCAATAACAATTAAAGGACATGGTCGTTTAATTCAAATGATTCAAACCCCACTATTATATTTAATTGGAAAAATATTTGATGCGATGTATAATGCAATACATTAGTGGTGAATGAGGTGATGTCATCTCATTAAAAAAATGTCAACAAGGACCATTAACAAACTCCACATGAATGAACGGAGGTTGTTTGTATTCATTTGTTAAAATTGTTGAAGTGTTCATTTGTTATATTTTTAAACGGCGGTTTTAAATCCCATGCGTGTTTCATTAGGTGGATGCCACTTATGATAATTTATGCATTAGTGTTGGTAAGTATATTGATTTGATAACTAAAATGTTACAAGTTCTACTCCCATAGAAACGGTCTATTAGTCTTCTTGATTTGTGGACAACGTAGGTAAACCAGCTCTAAGCTAGATAAACCTTCATTGAGCCTTTTAGGCCGTTTGTTCTATACATCAAAAGGGTAAAAAAAATCATTTTTTTTAAGGTCAAAGCTTGGTATATTGTAATTTTGATATTAAATTTTGATTAATTAGTTCAGTGTTTAGTTTTATATTGGAAATTAAAACTCTCATCATGGGAAGAGCCAAGACCGTACAGTTGCCCATCCACATGCTTTTGCAATATATGTTTTAATCGCCCGCATGGGTAGCTCAACTGGTCATAGAGGTGAAACATTGGAAGAATGACCAGGGATCAAGTCTCACCAGTGAAAAGTGATGGAAGAATGACCAGGGATCAAGTCTACCAGTCTCACCAGTGAAAAGTGATGGAAGAATGACCAGGGATCAAGTCTCACCAGTGACAGTGTGAAAAGTGATGGGGGCTCCTTGTGCGCACCTTTATGGTTCAGGGCACCTTTATGGTTCAGGGATCAAGTCTCACCAGTGACAGTGTGAAAAGTGATGGGGGCTCCTTGTGCGCACCTTTATGGTTCAGGGCACCTTTATGGTTCAGGGATCAAGTCTCACCAGTGACAGTGTGAAAAGTGATGGGGGCTCCTTGTGCGCACCTTTATGGTTCATGTTCAGTTGCTGTCCTGCCGGGGTATGGGGGGAGCCCTCTATGATTCATGTTCAGTTGAGCTAAGTGATCCAAATAAATATATATTATTAATAAAGTCCAACTACTTGTAAGAAAACAATTATAGATCAGTTTCCATAAGAGGTTAGAGGAGACCGAAATGAATCTTTACATAATTACATTGTGAATCACTGTGGCTGCTAAGTTCGATATGTCGCCTAGAAATTAACTCCGTATCACGTGCAAGCAAGACACATGTTATGTTATCAATGGAGAAACAGAGATACTGAGATTCCCCAATTAGAATGCAATATTTTTTTTCGTAAATCATGCATGCGTAGCTAAATTTGCAGTATATAAAGGTGTTGCCACCTTAACCTGCTATACACACTAAGTAAGTTTAGCTTAGAGACTTGAATCTCCAGTCAGCCATGGCTTCCTTTACTCTTTCGCCCCCATGCTTTGCCTTCTCGTCTTCTTCTTCATCATCATCTTCCCCTCTCTTCTTCTCCGCCCCATCCCAGCTTCTGGCCCACAAGAAACGTAACCAAACTCGGCTCCGAGTTTCATGCAAAGCCAATAACCCTAATAACAGCACTGACGATGCCGCGGCCTCGCCCGGTTCAAGGATTATTGACCGGAGAAACGTTCTTCTCGGTCTCGGGGGGCTCTACGGTGTTGCCAATCTCGCCGGCGGCCCTATTGCCTCGGCCGCAGATGTGGACGTCGCCATTCATTATCCGAATGTAAGCAAATGTCATTACCCCAGCGATGTGCCGGCTAACGCTGACATCACTGGCACGTGCTGCCCCCCTGTGCCGACGGACACAGTGCTGGACTACCAGATTCCCACCGGCGGCCCGATGCGCAAAAGAGTTCCGGCACAATTCGCCACCCAAGAATATATAAACAAGTACGAAGCCGCCCTTACCGCGATGAAGAACCTGGACCCGTCTCACCCCCACAGCTTTCCTCAACAGGCCAACATTCACTGCGCTTACTGCAACGGCGGTTATCAACAATTCGGTTTCCCCACGGAAGAAATCCAAGTTCACAATTCCTGGCTCTTCTTCCCCTTTCATAGATGGTAACATTTTAAATTAGGAATCTGTTTGGTAGAGCTTATAACTTTTTTTGTTATATAATAAATTTAATTAAAGGTCTAGCCATGTATGTATGGTATGTGTTACTAATAATCTCTTTTTTGTTAAAAGGTACTTGTACTTCTACGAGAAGATCTTGGGAAAGCTGATTAATGATCCCACCTTCGCCCTGCCCTATTGGAATTGGGACAACCAAAGCGGCATGACCATGCCCAATATGTTCATGAGCACCACTTCTTCGCTCTATGATGCCAACCGTAATCCAAACTACCTTCCTCCGGCCATCGTTGATCTCAATTACGCCGGGAAAGACAGAGGTCTGTCCGACGAGGAACTGATCGCGGAAAACTTAGTGGCAGTGTACCGTTCGATGGTGACAAATGGCGGCACTACGGAGCTCTTCATGGGAAAGAAGTACGTGACGGGTACCCCACCTAGCCCGGGGCAAGGCTCCGTAGAGGGCATACCTCATACTCCGGTTCACAGATGGGTTGGGGACTCCGTGGACCAGCCAAACGGTGAGGACATGGGCAATTTCTACTCCGCCGGTCGAGACCCATTGTTCTACTCTCACCATGCCAACGTGGACCGCATGTGGGTCATCTGGCAAAAACTGCTCGGCGGAAAGGATTTCACCGACGATTCCTGGTTAAATGCTTCCTTCTTATTCTACGACGAGAATGAGCAGCCCGTCCGAGTCTACGCCAAAGATTGTATGGATAACATAGCTATGGGGTACGATTACGAGTACTCCTCCCTTCCGTGGCTGAAGAGCAAGCCTTCCCCGTCAAAGACGACCGGAGCGGCGGCCGCCTCGAATGCGCCGTTCGTGACGGATGTGTTCCCGGTGACACTTGACAAAGTGGTCCAGGTGAAGGTCAGCAGGCCCAAGACTTCGAGGACTAAGGCGGAAAAGGAGAAGGAAGAAGAGGTACTGGTGATTGATGGGATCGAGGTGGCGATGGATCAGTACGCGAGGTTCGACGTTTACCTGAATGACTCCGACCAGCCGGACGGCGGGAAGGACAAGGCTCAATATGCGGGAGGATTCGCTCACTTGCCGCATAAGCAGGAAAGTAGCTCAACCACGAAGACGTCGGTGAGGTTGGGACTGAACGAACCGCTGGAGGATTTGGGAGCGGAAGACGACGACACGGTTCTGGTGACTTTGGCTCCCCAAGTCGGCGGCGGCGTCGTGGATGTGGATAGCATCAGGATTGAGTACTCTACGCGATAAAAAAACCAGAGCTGATCGACTGATTATATTGAGCGATATGCATGATTAATTCGTCGTCAGTATGTGTCTTTGCTTTGTGTTATGGTTTTGGAGTTTTAATTTCGTTGGTTGTCTTCAATAATTACTTAGTAATTAGTAATGTCAGTATGTCTTTGACTCTTTGGTTTGTGTTATGGTTTTGGAATTTTTAATTTGGTTAGTTTTCTTCAATAATTACGCAGTAACGTGTAGCTAATTTAATGCTTGCTATTCGATATTCAGATCCGCAGTGGTTTCATAAAAGTTGTAGTTTTTGAGTTAGCTTCCGAATCACATAAAAATCATTCAATTTGAACATTATATTGTACTCCTACATTAAGATAGGATAAAATACTGATGAGCATTGGTTGTGTTATGTGAGGAGTGAGACCCTTAACCTTTTGATCCACTTTGACTTGAATTGATAAATCTAGCTTGTCACAAGATCAAGTAGGGTAATTCATTGTTCTAATTCTTATTTAATGATTTACATGATCAAGTGACTGATAGGTTAAGATACTTATGTGCATTTTCTCAATCCCTTGGTTATTGGATTTTCGGCAATCTCCATCAATCTTAATTATAGGTTTGCTTGCATCTAGTTGATTATATATGCTCCCTAACATATATAAGTGTTGTTTCCTTATTTCATATTATCTTCTTGTTAATATGTGTTTGTGTTATCTTGTTTAGTTATTGTTGCATTAAACTTCTTGTTGATTGCTTAAATTCTTATTAATTTTCTAATCCTAATATCTAGTTGCTTGTTATTGATGTTACATGTCATAATGACAAAACACCCGAGCACTCTATTTTACATTAAAATACATGCGAGTTTATTTCTAGTCAAATCACAATATCATTTGATGAACCACAAATTTTAATAGCATAGCATGGTGAAGTCTAAAATCAAATGCAAGTGAATTGAAGTACTTTAACATGGTAACTCGAAAAGGAAAACCACATATGACATATCTTTATGAGTTAATTAGTCAAGCCAAGAATTTTATTTTTGAATGTCATAATACATTAATACATCACATTGACCATTTTGGCATTTATTGGAAGCCATAAATGTAGCTCAAAAGCTAGAAGGGGGTGGAGTGGGGGAAGAATAATGATTTTTTTGACTACTATTAATTCTATTATAATGTAGTATATGAGGGAATTGAAGAAGCTAGAATGATAGAGGCTAGTAGTTATTTTCTTGGAAGGTGGGTCTGCTAGTGGAGAAAAGGAAAATATTACATATACTTCTATTTCTTACTCCCAACTTTTACTCTGATCCCTTCCATAAATTCTTGATGTAGCTGAGACTCACGTGATGAAAATAGCCAATCTTTATTTGTCATGTCATGAAGTAAAGTGAAGAAGTAGATTGATTTGGAAGTACATATAGTAAAACTCTGAAGAAAAATATCATCTATCCTTTTGTTTTTTCTTCTTTGTAAAGATGAGGTCTAAATGGGCAAAATAGATAAATTACTAATTTTCTTCACTTTCAAGTATAATTGGGTGAAGTTTTTCTCTGCGCTAACTTTTAATGGGCTTATATATAGATCACTTAAACTTGAATTATTGACTCAATTGAACCTTGATGCATGAGGTAGAGATAATAATTCCGCACGAAATTGCAGGCTTAACTCACTAGTTCAGTAGGCAGTATTTGAAAGAACAGATCAAAGTTTGAATCTCGACAGTATGCTTAAAGTGGACAGATCTCTTGTACACATTGGTATTTGACATTACTTGTTGGGCCGGAGTGTGAGGAGCGTTTGGAGTTCATAATTCAACATTTTGGGAAGAGAACACTAACCAAATTTTAATTGTCGTTTTCATCCTTAAAAAGGTATCAACTATTAAGAAATGTACGTGGCCAATAGTCTTGTGTTCTAGTGGCACCAAGTAATTCTCCCAATTAGGAAGTCATAGGATCGAGCCTTACTGATATTGATTCTTTGTGTTTTAGTAGGTTGAAAAAGTAGTTTATAAATATACACTAAAAAAAAAAAAAAACTATTTTTTAATTCAAAAAAAAAAAAAAAACGGAATATTAAGAAATGTGAGTGGGGCAACGTGTTTAGGTTAAATCACTAGAATTCAATTCTAAACTTTTTTATTCGTAGGCGGATCTATTAGTATCAACTTAGTAGCGCGTGCAGAGATACCTCAATTAATGCCGTATATGGTATATAATGAGTGTTGCTATTACCTCCCTTTGACTAAAATAAGATATAAAGTACATTAAAAATATAAAAAAGTGATAATTTATAATAAATACATAGGTGGTGCAATAGCATAATGAATTATCAAAATGCTATTTGCGCCACCTTAATAAAACTGCATTTATTATATTTAAGTAATAATTAATTAATTCAAAATTTAATTCATTAAAAAAAAAAATAACGAAACGTCGCCTTCTCCGGTAAGAAGGCAGTCCGTCGCCTTCTCACCGGAGAAGGTGACGAATCTCCTTCTTTCTTTCTTTTTTATTTTTTTTTTAATATGTTGATTTAAAAAAAATAATAATAATAATAAATATTACTTTTTGACCATATTTATTAATGGTGGTCAAATAGCACTTTGCTATTTGCACCACCTATAAAGTTAATTGACCTATTAATTATATAGGTGGTGCGAATAGGATTTCCCGTATATAATACTATGCAGCATTAATTACATTACATTCCCACGTGCTTGATTAGGTTGTTGCGGCATCTTTTACGTAAAAATACTTCCAAATGCATCTTCATTGTTTTCTTTTATAAAATTATTTTATTACTAATTAGACTTTAAAAAAATAAAAAAAATTCTAGACTAGAAGTCAGTTCATGACTTGTTAAAAGTTACCTGCAGCTCAATTGGTTATAGAACTGAAAAGTTCAAAGAATGACTAGGGATCAGATTTCACCAACAACAGTGTGGGAGTACCCTCTCAAGGTGAGGAGCGGGGTTCCTTGACTTAAAGGTTTTTTTTTTTTTTTGGTGTTGTAGAGTGAAAATATTATTTATATTACTCGTACATGTTAATCAATGTTGTTTATCTGGTCATTTGTTGAGAAGAGTTTTTTTTTTTTTTTTTTTTTTTGGGGGGGGGGGGGGGGGGGGGGTTGGATCAAAACGGGAGGGGACAACCGAGGGGGTAGCAAACTTGGTTGAGAAGAGTTAATCTTTTTTTGTTGGTGAGGAGAAGAGTTAATCTTATTATTGTTGAATTCACTGTGTTTATATATATATATATATATATATATGGTATTCTCAATAAAGTTTATTGGTATGAGCCATCAACTTTAAAAAGGTCTAGATTCTTTTGATTTCATGTGTTCGCTGAGAGTCTGTGGGTCTTGAATGTTCCTGATTGGTTCCTACTTATTAATTTTAAACAAATTAATTATCTAGATTACTACCTATACCAGACACAAAGATAAATAGAATACGAAAATTAATGACAAATCAATAAAAGAAACCAATAAAGTTGTTAACGTCATAGTTCAGATAAATTTTCTCCTACGTATACATGATTACTCAAAAAGTGTAATCCAACTCCACTAGATAATCACCGATATTATAAAAAGTTGAATTAACTTTTCATACAACGGCTTAATCATTCACATCAAACACAATCTTCATCATCTTCTTGAGTTGGAAGAATTTTTGAAATCAACGTTCTAGCCAATTCACACTTCCTGATCCAATAGACGTCACCACACCTCAATGGAATAAATCAGCCCATTCACTTGATAGCACTTAATTGTCATTTGAACAATTTCAAGTTGAAGTAGATAATTGATGAGAGTAATTCAAGAAAGTAGATAATTTATAGTAATGAGTGTTCACAAATAGCCCACCACATTAGGTGAAATTCTCACATTACAATGAGTCTGGGTCCTCACTCTCAATCTATTACTTGAATAGTAATTGAGCTACCAAACAAATATATTAACTAGGTTCGAAGTTTGACTCTTTATGAGATTTGTTTATTGATCCTTTTTGAGTTAAATTGGTAAACTATGAGTAACATAGACTTGTTTAATTTATTTCTTTGTGGTCTTTTGCCGACAAATTTCACTTAAAGTACATTTTTGAATAACGACTATGAGCTTCCCGTAAATCAAAGTAATGCCACATCAGAATATAAGTGTAGGAAGAGATGTGCATTGGTCACCTCATACAAAATTATATGTACAATGTACCTCTCAGCATCACAATATAATGTTACGTTAATGTTGGATAGAAACTTCAAAACTGTGTAGCTGCCCAATACGTACTGTACATAGAATCATTGACTTGGAAGTTGGAATTCTCCGGCCGGCCAGCGGATTAATTTTCTGCGCGCTATATAATTCGAGGATATATAAGTTATTAGTACTTCAATAATTCATTTCATCCAGGCCACCAAATTAAAACTGGGGGTTTGGGTTCACATACAAAATAATAAAATGGTGCAGAAGAAGGGTATTCTAGTACTTGTCATCATTTCCTTCCTCCTTTCTTCTGCTCAGTGCTTTCGCTTCTTCCCAAAACCAGAACCAGGAGGCCCCATCAATGGCGGCGGTGAGAGACAAAACTTCAACTCGTTCGATCTTCTGCTCCTTTTTAATTTCCTAGCTAGCTAGCTTTTTTTTTGAATGCTACCGACTTTATTATAATATAATAACGTCTTCACTGAGTCTCAAACTCATAATTTTTCATATGAAAATCTAATCTGGGTACCATTAGACCACAAGGTCTTGGCAATTAATATGTTTATAGTGATTAGGAATATATATTTTTGGGTGCAGATTTCTATTTCTTGGATTATACAGGCGCGAGGGGATGGAATAACGAAGAGATACGCACTCCTCATCATCAATATTCTGATCACGGCGCACCTCACCCAGTTGAATTTGAAGCAGGAAATTAAACATCTGAACACCATCATAATACATACATACATACATACAAGATTTTTCAAATAATGTTAACTTCTTATCATTCTCAATCTCAATATTATCATTTGTATGTGCATCGTACAAGTGGCATATCAGTTATTGTAAAACCAAATTGAATTGCGCCAAATTATTAGTATTATTCTTTTTACTTGAATTTACAATGTTAAGT